GACATGATAAAACCCTTTAAAGTATGTATGGAATGGTATATTATAGAATATTTGCATAAGGGCCGAGGCACGCGAGTTGATAAATTTGGCACGCGATTCTACTTAATGATTTACTAGCACTATCTATTAAAAACCGCTTTTAAAACCAGATAGTATCCAAAGATAGTTATGTCAATACCGTGTGTCGTGGGCTATCCTCTTTTTGTTAAATGTGTTTGCAACACTTCGTGGGTGCCGCAAAGCGACGACGTGTCTACGTTTGACAACTCATACATGTCTGACAGACATGATGTTAATTCAACTTATTTATTAACATTAAACTTTAAAATATCAACCTAAGGTAATCTCAATACGCTTTGAGCGGCACCTATATACATGTGCGAACATGAAAATGATGTATGACGTAATTTTGAACATTATTTGGGGGGTACCAAAAACTGGGTATTGCAATTGGCCTTTGGTTGAACTAAGTTGAGACTTCTCTGTGTTGAACGGCCGGTATAGGAAATGCAACTTAACTCACTGAAATCCATTTTCAAAGCATTTATATAGGCCTACATACAAAACAATTTCCGCCGATCATCTTGTCAACATTTATAACATATTTTTAATTTAAAACATGACAGCTGTCAAATTAAAAAAGGAAGTGAATTGTTGATATACCCCTAGGAAGGGGTGGGTGTAACAGGAAAGGCCAATGCATTAGGTTACATGTAAAATACATGTGAAATAGATTTGAGTTGGAGTAAGCCTTAACATAAATCAAGCAATGAAACAGAAACGTTGGGTTGAGGTGGAAGAAAGTTACATCATCTGGGGGGGGGGGTGTTTCACAAAGATCCTAAGTAGAACTTAACACTAAGTTGGACTTAAAAATTATGGACAGCCATTAGCATCTTTAAAATATTTTGTAAAAGTTATTTTGAAAGGCATTAATTGTTTATTCAAATCATTCATATTTTCTATCATCAAGGAGATTTCATGTTCTTGATGTGGAATTTATAAAAAAAGTCTAAAATACTTGAATTTCTGCTTTTGAATATATTTCATTTTAAGACTCCAATGGCCGTCCATAATTTTTAAGTCCAACTTAGAGTTAAGTTCTACTTAGGATCTTTGTGAAACACCCCCTGAGCTACAGCAAACTGATTTGATTGGCCTATTGGGAACTCTATTTACAGGGACTGCTGGTGTTACCAGGTGTCAACAATAGGGACTTTTAGATTTGCGTGGACTGATACATGTGACGTCTATTCAAAGCAACGCATTAAAAGGACGTCGATCGTAGCATAGACCTATTGTCTTCGTGCGAATCTAAAAGTCCCTAATATTATATGTTGATACCTGAACCGGTAAGTGTTCACAATTGCGTAATATATAAATATATATATTTGCATACATATATTATATGTATGGTACATTAACCGGACATCATAATAATCATAACCCTATACCCTAACCCAAAACCCTAAACCTACCCCTAAAATTTGGCTGTATAATTATTGTCCTGCTAATGACAATATCTACTTAATGACTCACTTTTCCACACCAAATGTCCGTCCAATTCCGCCTTTACAATAAGTTAAATTATATATATATATATATATATATATGGAAAGATTTATATAAAAATACTTTTATGAAAAATAGAATGTACAATCGGTGAAAGGACATGAATTTGTCCTGCCAATGACAATCTCTACTTAATGACTCACCTTTTTTCAGTCCAATTGTCCACCTTAAGTAAAATATTGTTATATATATAACCTTACATGGTACATTAGGTGGACATCATAAAAATCCTAACCCTAATGTTTACTTAATGACTCATTTTTTCACTCCAAATGTCCCTCCACTGACGCCTTTAGTGAAATTACATATATAGAGAAAGATATATAAACGAATTCGGCCTTCTATGAGAAATAAAACATAAAAACGTTAAGAGGACACCATATTGTCCTCCTAGTGACAATGTCTACTTTAATGACTGAATTTTTCACTCCAAATATCCCTCTAATGACGCTTTAAAATATAAATGTATATGTATATGATATTATACCATTAAACAAGAATAGTACACCTTTTATAAGAATCACCCAAAGTCTCAAGATCGCTGATGATATGGGACATTAAGTTTATTATCATGCATTCACGTAAGATTTTATAAAGATGTAATTTTGCAGGCCCTACCCGTATTACTCAAGGGACTTTTCTCTATCATTATGAATCAAACATTCATCCGACGTGGGAGGATGTTGAACGGTGTATCATCTATAATTGCTCATGGAAGAGTAAATTCAAGAAGGTGACATAACAAAATCGCACTCAACGGTTATGATATTTCCCTCCTTTGTGGTATTGCATACACATAATAACTGCTTTGCAAACCTAAAATGTTAAATGGTTGAGTAGAACCTTTAGGTCTTATATCAGTTGATGAGATTGACTATTGATATATGGAACAAAAATAACATCTTCAAACACGAAATCTAGTGCTTTCAAATCACTTCTTCAAATAATGACCTATAACTCCTACGCTCAAATATCTCTTTACAGTTTGCTGCAATCAGATTAACCTTTTTAATATGCCGTTCATAAACGAAAAGATTTGCGGAAAGCAGGTTCCATCAAACTTTCTTTTCTAAAATCAGGGTAATGCTTAGTCCCTAGACCTAGATAAAGCTTTTGCTGTCTTAAAATAATAATATGCTGCCTAATACTGCTTATTAATACCAGATTAAATTTATACGATGTAAAAAATATGAAATTCACTATATTTTAGAAGGACTAACTAAGGTGCAATAAATATTTATGAAATTTGACCATACAATTTTTTCCAATGGATAACAATGGATTATACCATCATCATACGACTAAGAGTGCCCAGTCCGTAGGTTCTTACTCGGATAAAAGAAGGTAAAAATTTACAATAAACTCTTACTTTGCTAGAGTTTTCGCTCGTTGAGATTTTACCAAAACATAAACAATTCTTTCTTTTCAAAAACCCTGAACTTCTTTAACCACGAATTATGTACAAAAGTGATGTGTATACAAACTTGTAGGGAATTTAATACATTTCAGATGAATATTTGTATATTATTATATTTCATGCATAAACATAATTGATTGCTCATCGGTTTGTTATTGTTTAATGCAATATTGAGAAAAGATTATACTTGTTTGTATATTTAAACTATATATAGTTTGTATCATTAGTTCTTTATAAAACTTCATTTCATGCTTAAGCTTTGATATACATAAATATATATATATATATATATATATATATATATATATATGTATATCACCACATACATGTATCTTGTTAGAGCATGAGTTAGAGCATGACAGCGGCACATCTCAAACAGGCATTTTCATATCATGTTGATGATGTTGATTTCTTTCACTCAAAGTGTGCTTGTTATAACAAAATATATACAATATATTTCAAGGATATGGATATGTATGTATTTTTTAAATTAACAAAAGACCATGTTATGCAATATTTACAATATTTAAAATTATATGAAGCGTTGTGGATGACAACAATAAGACAAAGAATTGTAAAATTGAACAAGTAAATAGCACAAGTGCTAGTCATGTCTTGCTCAAGAATAAAGAGTTTCTTGATGTAAGTTATAATTGCTCTATATGTATACACTAATGTACGTATAACCGAAATAAGATGTATAATGATTATAAAAATGATAATAATAAATATATAATAATGTTAGTAACAACAACAAAATCAATAATAATTATATTAATAGTGATAATAATAATAATAATAACAATAGTAATAATAACGATAAATAGCATTAACGACAAAAGTAATGTGATCAATTCACCTGAAGCTCCAACATTTGCACCGTCTAAAAATTGTAGGGTTATGATTAAGACTGCAACTTGATTTTAGGATGGGTTTAGGGTAAGGATTAGGTACATATTGTTAGATTCAGGTTTGAAGTTAGTCATTCTGTTAATGCGTGAAACTGACGACAGAGCATATGTTGACAAAAGAGAATGACCTTTAACTTTTATCTCTCTGTCACGCAATGAAGCCATGTCGAAGAGAAACAAAGAAGCGCGTGGTTCTGAGTTTCAAATTCAATATTGAAAACGATAAGCAAACACGATTTCTATTTTACTTATCTGAAAATGTTTGTTGGCATTTTGCCAGTGGATTGGATGGTTATACCAAGGTCAGCAATCTCAAGCAAGTTGATGAAGAAGGATAATTCTAATAGTCAACAATTATAAGCAAGGTCTAAGTAGAAAAATAAAAAAACATTTCGTAAATTGTTGTTATTATTATTAATATTATTATTTTTTATTATTGTATTATTATCCGTGGTCTTCTTTCAAGCGTTTGGGGGTGGTTACATATTTGTGTTCTCGTCATCTCAATTTATTTTTCTTCTTCTGTTTTTGATAATTGCTGGATCATAAGTACACCTTATGTACAATATATCCAATGTTTACTTTTAGGGGAAATGTTAAGAGAAATAGTCAATACGTGAAAGAGGACCATCCTGATATTATAACCTTTCTGTGGCAAGAGATTTTACAAATCAAATGTTTGTTTTGAAAGTTGCTTGTTAAATGTAGGTCTCTTTAATTGCATTGTTTAATTTTGCATCAAATATTATAAAAACAACAAAATTCACAATTATTAATGCATTTAACTTTTTCAACGAGGAAAGAACATTTACATTAACATTTTACTGAAAACATTCATAGTTTCTTTCGGAATTTCCTGCTGACGAAATGCATTTCGCAATCAAGCGTGTTTCACATTGTTTTCTTGAAAACCTTGAAATCAGCTTTAATGATAAGCTAGAAATAATGACAATCATAAGCTCGTTAACGTGATAGAGAGAAAAACGAAAGATAAGATAACAAACAGGTGCGTGTATTCACAGAGCGTCGTACTTGTTGATATCAAACCATTATTGTGGTTAAATATTATGGGATGCATTTAAGGTGATGACATCATTTCGTTCGTTGTTGTCACAGTTTATACTCACCCGAGTAGAGCTTCATTTTCAGATCGTAGCTCGGTCTTGTAATGTTTCGTTTTGCTGACAATAATTTAAATCCAAGATATCAACATCATGGCAATATTCAAACAAAAGAAGTTTTTCGGTTTTCTATTCATCATTCTCGTTGTCGGGAGCAACTGCAGTGGCAAAGTTGTTAACACACCAGATACCGAATCCTTGCCTACAACTCGCATCCCCGATGAAAATGATGATGCATCTGCGGTTCAGGAAATGGTTGTCGAGATGCAAGATCTTGGCACCCATTCATCTCTACAGCCACCTATTACAAATACAGGAGAAGACCTGGTCAGTGGAGAAGTAGCTACTCAGCCGAAAGATCCCGGCCATGGTTCTAAGCGGCACCAGTGTGGATTCATAGACTCGTGTGTTGGGAGATGTGGCTCTGGGCCGTCCGACCGTGATTCCATCTACACCTACATAGTTAGTACCGAGAAACGTACGCCTATCCGTACCGGTTACCTTTGTTTCTGTGATTCACGGTGTTCTCTGTATGGAGATTGCTGCAGTGATTACGACGTCCAGTGTCAATGTAACGGTAACGAACTGAACGGTAAAACAGATCTTACGCAGGAGACCGATGTGCTTGTCGAACATGAAGGGATATTAGTTGTCAGTCCCACTATCTCAATTGACGCTAGTTCAACAGGCCCTCAAGAACAGAGTGGTGAACTACTGGACGATCCAAGTATAAGGAGAGACATGCTGGAATGTAAACATTTGGATGAAGTCGAGTTTGGCTCTCTTCTGGTAGAAATGAAATGCCACCCAGACTGGAAGAACAAGAACATCGAGACGCTGTGTACTAACATTGACTATCGCGATGATATCGCAAAACTGTTCGTTCAAGGGGGTGACCATATTACCTACCGGAATATTTTCTGTGCTGAATGCAACTTCGTGAAGGTGTTTCATTTCTGGATCCAAGATGCTTATTGCTATGGAGAACTGCCGACCTCCGTCTACGAACAACCGGAACGTTTGTCAAATTATCTGAGGAAGAATTGCATGACGAAATTCCGTGTGCCATTCGGGTATGTATTTCGCCCATGCTTGAAAATGGTTGATAGCTGCCCCAAAGGAATATCACAAGAATCCGAATGGGTGGAGCAGAACTGCGTTTCTGGGCACCTGTCTGTGGTTACCGCGGAGAACACCTCGCCCAAGTTATGGGGTTCTACGTTATATCGCAACTCTTTATGCGCTGAATGCAACGGGGTCGACGAGAGCTTGATCAGGTGCCCGACAAAAGACATGCTCAAGAAACATTTCCTTCGTAACTCTACTCATCGAAATGATTCGAAACCATCAAATGGTGATGGTAAGATAACAAATCGAATTGTCACGAATTACAATATGGCAGCTAAAGATCAAAGCAGTACTGTCGTTTATAGGGGTAATGGACTGGTTGTTCCGATAGTAGACACGTGTGAAGATGGACAAGTATTCGACCCTTATTTAGGGAATTGCAGACAGCTCTACTGTTCGGATGGATATGTCCTTGTCAAACAAAATTGTGTGCCGGCAAAAGCAACGGATGAGCTGGACGATGACGATATCATAACTATGGTGGAAGCTATTACTGCTGTTATCAACGAAACGGTCGGTCTCGAAGACGAGCTGGTAATTACTGTTAAGATTTGCATGGAGTGGGATTATAGCGAGCATGACGTGAAGGCACCTGCGCCTGGCAAAGGCAAACTGCCCCCTGATCACCTCGTATTCAATAGCAGTGTATGGGACATTTATGTCAGTCCCATACACCCCAACGATTCGTTTACTGATCACGAGCTTACGGACTTTGCTTGCGAGGTCACTGTCACGATGGTGGTTTCAAATCCAGAGGAAATGACCAGAAACAATGCCAAGCAATTTGCCGAGATTCTTGGTAAGCTATCTGACCTCAATAACGCGAATGAAATGCATGTGTATGTCAATGATGTATATGTAAAGTCACCTGAAGAAGAAGATTATGCGTTCGTGGAAATACTTAATGGAAACTTGACTGACCTTAACTACTTGATTGGTCATTGCAAAAATGGGAACCTCACTATTGTAGAGCCATCTGACTTTACTATCTATACGAATGGGACCGACAACGACGTGTCTTCATGTCCGATTGTCTATGTGTATAGTACATCGCGTGTTTATGACTGTTACGAGAACTACTTATTTGGATATGAGAGTACCATCCCCGTCGATGAGCAGACATGTGGTGCCCTAGTATGTGATACCCAGTCGCCGATCGATCCAAAGTGTGAGCGAATCTTGTTGAATGAGACAGAATATGATACACTGCCGAATGGTAGCCTGATTACTTCGGGTGGCATCCTATACGACCCTCCAAATTATCACCAGACAACAGAAGGCGTTCTGATTTGTAATATGTATGTAAACGTTATTTCAGAAACCGTGGTCATATTTTTCGATTTTTCACGGGCTCAAACTATCATGACATATACCGGACTCGTCATATCTTCAGTGTGTCTTTCTGTTACTCTGCTGACGTACGTCATCTTTGGGGAATTGCGTACGTTGCCTGGGTTACACATCATGTCGCTAATCGTTGCCTCAATTGGTGGGAACATTACATTTATAGTAAGTCTCAGCCTAACGCCAGGGTCCTTGGATTGCCAAGTAACCGCGGTGATAATGCACTATTTCTTCTTGACGCGAGTGTTTTGGACCAACGCCATTGTCGTTCATGCCTTCCAGACATTTGGACCAAAAGTACGTGGGTGTGTCCATCGATCGTTCGACGTCCTCAGCAAAACCAGTGCTCGCTCGCGCGTACGCCAACACATACCGTACGCGCTTTACGCCTGGTGCACGCCAATACCATTCACTGCACTCGGGAGCGCATGGCATTTCTCCGCATGCGGACCATTACCCGTCTACTATGGTATGTACTTTTCTTGTTGGATCGCAGACCCGCTCTCGTTTCTGTACCTTTTTGTCTTGCCAATGGTACTGGTTCTTACCACCAACGCCATCCTGTTCGTTCCCATCGTATATAGCTTGCATACAGCCAGGAAACAATCCTCAAAGAAACTAAGTTCATTGAAAGGGCGAGACATGTTTAAAGACGCCAACAAAAAGCCGGGTGAGTTAGCCATTTATGCCAAACTTTCAACGACGGCTGGATTTTCGTGGTTGTTCGGTATTATGGCTGCTTTCACTGATCAAGATTTCTTATGGTACTTGTTTATTCTCTTTATGAGTCTCGAAGGACTCTTCATCTTTTTTTCTTTCTTCTGCAACCAGAGAGTCAAGAACTTGTATTCAAAGCGATTCGGTAAAAAGTGTAATGGACTGTATCTAGGTAGTCGGGATTATGGACAGTCAAGGAGCGCATATACTATTTCACATCAAGTCGAAAGAAGAACTTCTGGTCTACCAAAAGAGACATTCACGACACTAACTGTATGAAAATCACTTCATCCTTCTTTCAAATTTTATTTGAAAATTGCGAAATAGTCTAGCAAAACAATGAATAAGTCCCTCACCAATGTACTTCACTTGTTGGTATTCTAAGGGGAAAGACAATATACAGCATTATTTTGCGCGTGCATTCCGAGGCACTGTCATTTTTCTGATCATGCCAACTTATTAATACCTTTCTTTTTATATTCCGCGATACTATTTATAGGGTGATCTGGTGGCGTAGGAGGTAAACTGCTTGAAGATATTTGAAACAGCCATTTTTAAATAAAATTTCAATAGGACTATAATTGGAGGACCCAGAATTTTGGTTTCCGGTGTGGGGGTTCAAGTCCTTAAATTCGCTATTTGTGAAAGAATACCCAAACAAAAGAATGAAATAAATCCAAACAACAAATTCAAAAAGCAAAGCAAAAAATGAAACGTGTTTTCAGATGCATTTATCTATGAAATGCGTGACATGCAAAATAAGTATGTCAAAAGCTTAGTGAAGCTTAAGCTTTCTTTATAAAAATCCACAAGTTAAAAAAGATATATATATATATATATATATATATATATATATATTTCTATTGAGGTGCGTGCGAATAAACTAAAACTATAACTTATGCATGAAATGTTTGGCAGATTTGGCAGATAGATTCAAGACAACTGTCATCAAGACAAGTAAAGTATTAAGGTATACCTCCCCTCTCACCATTTGAAGGCCTATAGAGGTGATCTTAATTGACATAATGTTAAATTAAAAAAATAACAACTAATGTGCAATGCAGAAAATCGTGTTACGATGGTAAAACTTTGCAGTTCCTAACTGTCACTGTTTAGTTCTAAAGAATGTTAATAACTAATATAGATGTTTATACACTACATGTATATCTGTAAAGCGCATTGAGAGGGCCTGCGGTCCTGAAATGCGCTATATAAGGACGAACAATTATTATTATTATTATTATTATTATTATTATAAATATATGTTTGCTTGCAATTCCACAGAACCGTATGTGTTAATATTGTAGCTTATCGCAATTTATAAGGTATACACCGTATAATTATTTTGTTGTAGTTTCACCATTGGAAAAAAATTACCACCTTTTTTATTCTACAAGTTCGAAATAGACAACATTTATGATAAGTTTATGTTTTTAATATCACACATGAAGAATTCCAGGCGGACACAAAAGAAAAACAAGATGATATATAAGTATTAACTCTTTTCCAGATGACCTTTCGGTATGTGTAAGACGTAACCACAGACGGTTTAATCCAAGTAGTATCAAATTGTTGATACAACTCCAAATCTTTAAATCCATGTGCATTACGCCCAAGAAACCCATTAGCCTACATTTGAAAATATACATATACTGTATTTGCATTTGAAGGAGAAAATTTGGACTTTAATAACAAACTGCTGACCATACACAGCAATGTCAGTGGGTATTCCGTACGTTGAAATACGTGTATAATTGGTTTTCAAACAATATATTACCATGTATATACATGGTTATAATAAATCATTGTTGTACTTAAATAATAATTTACATATCGTTGTACTTAAATATTCAACATTCTAATGTATTTCGTAATTGTTTAAACATGTAGTCAAACAAATATTTTTGAGAAGTTTATGAGAATGACTTATGTATTACAATGATTGGGAACTTTCAAAAAGGGGAAAAGGTCGAAGAATGCTCTCTTTCCCGAAAGTTAATTTTGTTCTCACCTCTCTTCACGTAGTGATTGTGACATTATTTTTGTTAATTCTTGATGCACACAGTTTATGTCTTCTCGGAGCTTGATTGGTGACTCTCTAAACTCTTTTAATAGAGTGATTAATAAACTACTGATAATATATTTTTATAAACTGTTGTTATCAATAATAAATCATATTCTCACAATAATTAATCACTTTATTTAAATAGTTTAAAGGAAATGAGCCAAACTTTACGGGACACGGTGTATTTCAATTTTATTTGCTATATCTTATACAGAAACTCAGTGGGGGAATATTTCTACACTAATCGAAGGGTAACAAGGGAAAATAAAGTATAATGACACTTTTAATTTAGCATCAATCAGAGTAAACGACATGAAGGAAAAGACAACACTTACGGAAAAGTAATAAAGTGTGATTTACCCGGATACGAAAAGCTCCAGTATGTCCCCTTTTAATTGTACTGTGTCCCATTTGCAGGCCAACCAAAATTGAAAAGGCTTGAAAATGTTTTTAAATGGGAAAATAACGACCATTTTTTGTCGAATCGACTTTTAGGATTGCAATTAAAATTGTACCAAATGGTCGTACGTATTGTGCTGCGCAAAGATTCAATCAGTTTAATTATGGCCATAACAAGAATTGGGTTATCGGTGTAGACAAATGCTCTTGTACCCTTTACAGCTCATTTTATCTATGTTATTACCAAAGAAGAAAAAAGTATTAAAGTCAGTCAATCAATTGTATCTGACAGTGAAGTCTAGAAAGTAAACGGGTTTCCTTGCATAATTTGAATATTAGGACACTGCTAACGTTGAAATTTCACAAATAGGACATACGTGACTTGTTGATAATTCCTGCAAAGTTCTACAGAATTCGATGTTGGCTGCAAATGGGACATAACCTTTAATACTAATATCTAATACAAATTTTGAATACACTGCTTTGTAGTACAAATGCAATGTATATGGGTTCTCATGTGCTTCATACTTATTTCAGCAGTGATTCCCTCCTGGATATCTGAGTGGAATTCCATTTAAAAATCCGATTTGCATTTTAAATCCATAGTATTATAAATTTTGCTATTTGTTCATGTATTCTGTCTACCCGGTCTGCCCTTAACCCCTCTTCTACCTCTCTTTCTATAGTTTCCATACAATTTCTTCATACACTTTTCTGTCTTACTTCATTCCCCTTATTACTGCTGAATCTATTTTACACATTGCTTTTTCTTCTCTATCTTCTATCATTAAACTGCTTCCATATACGATTTTCCTACGTGTAACTTTTTTCTTTTTTTTTGTTGTGTGGTAACTACAACAACTAATTGCTGACGGATATTTTGATCATGTTGAATGGTACCATGATTGTGGTCGTTTTTTTTATTGTATTTTATGTATCACTTTTGTATCTATTCGGGACCAAGATGTATATATTTTAGTTTATATATTTAAATGAAACTTATATGGGAGTGAGGATGATAATACATGACAAATGGAATGATCTATCATGCATAATTCTCTTCCAAAATGCTTCGAGTCGTTTGGGTCTTCTTCTGGTTTCTGTAAAGAAAAATATACAGTAACAACTTAATTATTCATACCCCTTGTAAATTTGATGTTTTTGGTGTAATTAGTAAGTCAAGAATGAAAGATGTACTGGTTTAAGTACGCCCTTTGTTGAAATCTCTTTGATTTAAGTTTATTATATCACACTCTCAATACACGTAAATTGGGACATATCAACTTTTCAAATACTTCATATATTACCAAACTTTGTAAGGGTATGATTAATTTAGTTTTGAACTATACATAAGAATACACTCTCGAAAAATAATGGGTATAATATTGCCCATGTTGAGTGAAAAATGGGTAATATTGATGATTGTTTGGTAAAATTTGAAATTGGGTAAATTTTCCCTTATACTGGATACTTTAAATCGAATTGACTTGTATCATATATTTTGAAAAATTTACCATAGTTTTGTTTCATGTTTCTTCAAAATAGTTTACGTAATAGATATCGTTCCAAGTTTATTGTGACAATTTGTAATTAGTTCACCTGTATATATCACAGGAGGGTTTGATGAAAGAATTTTTAAAAATGATATCCTTTTACAACGAAATAAGAAAATAATAGTCTTATAGCCTGACATGTGTGTACTAAGAAATGTTTATTTTCTTTTTATTAAAAATTATTATGTCCAATCTTGGCCTACACATATGTTTTGCTATTTGAGCAGCATTATCCGCGGGTATTTGTCTAATTTATTTTATGATTATTATGAAAATTTGATCCGTTTGGGGGAAACGTTTCTCGTCATTTCTCATGTCATCTTAGAAGTAAATGAGGTGTAATTATAACGACACATTATATAACACATGTCTTTGTCTCCCACAAGTAAGCTTAAATGTGCTAAAGGAAGCATTTTTTTGTTTTAAATTATATGCCAGCCAACAAAATTGAACAAAATTACTTATGTAAAAGCGGAAAGTATTAACATTTAACAGTCTAGATTCTTTCGAGATGACATTTTTATGCCTTTGCTCTTTACTTATATGACACTTTTTCCGCCGATAATGGACAATAATCTTTATGCATTACCGAATAAAAAAATTCTTGTCAGACGCGCTTTGTTCACCTTCTATTCGACATCTTGTTTTATTGTCTTTATTGTAACATTTAAAAGACATAAATGAATGCGTGGGAAAATTACTCAGGTTTGTGGTTCAAAAGAGGTAAATGGATTTTTGCACCCCCCCCCTCCTTATGATTTTGCGCACTTATTAAATCTGATGAAAAGTATTACGAGCAAAGTCTCAGAACATGCAGAATTTCAAAAAAAGGAACTTATCATCTTAAAAGCAAAATATGAAGATAACATCAATCATGGTTCTTATAACAGCGAATATGTATATTATATCATGTTGAGCATTCTTGGTAGGTTGAAGATACAAGTCTCCTATTTGTATGTCACCCTACTCGCATGTTTAAGTGGATGAAAAAGGCTTATATTTAAATCTGTGACTACCGTTATAAAAAAAACACTGCGATAAGCTACAGTATTAACAAAATACGATTCTGTGGAACTACAAGATAGGCCGTGGTAATTCCAGGTGCTTCTTCATCTCCATTCTTATCGAATTACCGTCGCTTATCTGAAGCAAATACAAATAATCTGAAGTATATTTACTGATAGAGTTGTCACGATTCTCAAGTTATCAGCGAATGATAATGGATAATGGACAACCCTTGCATTATTAATAGCTAACTTTACCAGGTCACAATGCCGCACGCCTACACTTTGTAATTTGTAATCACGGCTCTTTCGGAAAATCTTATCAGGCTCTGCTCCAAAAATATATAAAGGCAATATAACTATTATTAGTATATATTTCCATGATTTTGCAATTCTAATAAACGGACTGGCTTAAGGGCAGATTCTATTCCCAGCATCTAAATCCATCTAAATGTGTCACTTCTCTCTTTCTCTACTTCTTTCTTGTGAATTTATTACCTTTTTACTCTCACTGAACAGGCGAGGAAATATTTGACCGAATTATGAAGTTTTGACCAATACTTGACCTTTTTTTAAACCAAAATAAATGTACAATTACCCACTTTTCATCATCTTTCACATTGCACCCGCGTCACCAGATACTCAATTTCATCTTTTAAAATGTGATATTTAATATAAAAAATGATTAAAAAAAAGTCTTTTGACAAATTCGTGTATACGACCCCCTTAATTATCGACAAAAATACACATACAGTATATCAATCTGATGGTCAATTTGCCATAGTTAGTAAT